AGAAAAAATGATAAAAATAAAAAGATACAACATTCTTTTACTCACTCCCTCTCTTTTCCTTCATTTTTCTCGAAGCAAATATATTATTAGACAAACCCAACTACAAAACATCCATTATTTCATAAAAAAGAGAGAGAACATCAATTAGTAAAAACGAATTTGATTAGCTTACTAAGGAGAAGATATAGGAAAAACAATGTCAAAAAATACACGAAAGATGGGTATATCAAAAGGGGACTGTTCTCTTCACATAAATCACAATAAATTGTCAAATTCAAAACTCCACCTAATCTATTCACACAATTTTTTTTTTTTCAGATTTTTTTCCCCAACATTTTTGACAAAAATAAAATGATCAAAGACATGATTACAATCCAAATCACATTCTCACCAAAAAGTGGGGGGAGGGATGAGAGACAATAAATATGAGATGAACACGACTACAAGAAATATACCTATATGCAACAATGGAGGATGTACAACAACAAAGAGGATGCAGATCTAGCACCATTTTAAGCTAGTTCCACGGTGGCGATGATGGTTTATAGACAAAATCTTGGGAGGATGTGCCATAGTTCAAATCGAGGTTGTGGAGCTGCTCCATCAGTTGGGAGCGTCTTTCCTTAAAAAAGTCAAGACGAGTTGTTAATTCTACCAAAGCAGAAGAGGCTGCCAATGGATGTCTTGGTAAATCAATTGCTTGCTGCAACCACAGTTGTAATTCACCTTATGAACTACTCCAGAATAATTGGCCAATAAAAACAAAAATAAAATAAAATAACTATTCCAAATAAATCAGAAAATAAAGTAATAAAATCAAGATGCAATTCAATTCAATGGATGATGTTCAGTTCGGTCCTTTTTCAAGAGAGAAAAACCAAAGGTTTCTATTCAAAAGTAGAAACAAAAAGAAGCGGAAAGGTTGATCACCGCTGAGCTCCAGAAATCACCAAGGAGAAGAATAATTTTGTTAGTCTTACCTCTACTGCCCTCGAAGTGGACGGGGCTGATTGAGAATCAACAGCACAAAGATCATCCGTGGACAAAGTTGTGGATGCCTCTGTATTTTTTGAGTCAGTCAAGCTTGTTTCAATAAATTGTTTTCGTGTAGGTTGCCTGCTGCTGTTGCCAACAGCCAATCCTTGTCCTTTAGCATTCCTCCATTCTGCTCCTAACAAATTCTCCTGCATTCCAATAGTCTGTTTTCAGATGATGAAGAAAACAAAGCATCCTTCGTTGATGAAAAAAATTTAAAAATATACCTCTATTCTTTGTTTCCTTTCATGATTACAAAAGGCAAGGGTCGTGTCAAAATCTTGCTGAAGAAACCTCCTGCAGGCATAAAAAATATATATTCAGATGTATCCCAAAATATATCTTTTTAAAAGTTAAAATTGCAAGTTAAATAAAATCTGGGAGGTGCATAAAGAAGCCCGCAGGGGTTGAGTTAAGAGAATTATTTAAAGAATCATATACAGACAATTTACTTATATAACTCTCCTAAACCCCTTATAATGTGAACTTCACAATATCCTTTAATGTAGCTATACCTCTAAATGTTGACACAGTAAGCTTGGGAAATATATTGCCTAAGAAAAGAAAAAACTTGGGAAACAGATGGCAGATTCCGCAGACTCACTGTTGAGAGTTATGATTTTGGACATGTTGATAACGGTCACATGCATCAGAGAGGGAACCGTAGTGATGCTGCCGCTGCTGATTTAGCTGATGGTGGAGTTCTGCAACTTTCTGCTTCAATCGGGCCACATCTGCTTCAGCAAGAGCAATCTCCTCAAGCTCAGCCCTTGTCTTCACATAAATCAAGTCATAAGAACAGGAATTACTCAAACAGTACAAGAAAATTTTAAAAAATTTAAAAGTTCTCTGAAAATCAATACAAACTTTAGAATCCATCCCACGGGAACTAGAAAATTGCCCGGAAGACATGCTCAAGCCAACTTCAAGTGCTGCTCTGAGATCCCTTTCAGCTTGAAGCTGCTCTTGCAATCTCGATACCTGTAAAGTCATTTACAATTCAGTAGGGAAGACAAATTTTATTTTCAACAGGGTGTTTTCCTTAGAATTTATAAAATTACATAACAAAAACAAAATGTGATAATTTGTAAAATTGTTTAGTATCCCCCAGTACAGCTTAAACTTATTCCCACCAATCTCCTAAGCAACCATACAAAACGGAAACTTACTTTGGGGAAGCATTTATATTGGACTTGGAGTCAACAAAAAGCTTTAAGAAAAAAAGTGTTCTACCATAAAAGTCTCCAACTTTTTGAAGAGCCAGCACAGGAAAATAATCAAAGTAAGCAATATAACACCAATGCTCTATTTCCAATACCATTCCACCTAACTTATACTGATCCTCTGACAGTTTTTTTTTTTTTATAATTATTTATTTATTTAATTTTTTTTGCTTAGGTAATGCTTGCTCCAGAGGAAGGGATAAGTAGTAAATCAAGTATAAAATAAAAAATACACACATCTTGCTCAAGTGCCAACCGACGCTCATGTAATGCTTGCTTTCTTCTCTCCAGGCTAGCCTGGAGAATTGCATTTCCTCTTGCCTATAACAAATGATAAAAAATATCAGTTAAAACAGAAAGTTCCCCTGACCCAGTGTAAAGTTTGTTCAAAAAAATAAAGCTACTTCTCCCTCTGTTCCACTATACAAGTTGTGTTAGGGAGAAATTTTTGTTCCAATTTTTTTGTCATTTTGAGCAAATCAATATTCCTTTAATTTACTTTTCCACTTTTACCCTCCAAGAAAAGATTAATGACAGCTTTATTGTTAAAAAAAAAAAAAAAATCTGTCTGCCTTCCTTCAAGAAAAGGTGCAGATAAAGATACCGTCTTTGCCATTTTTTCTATTTAAAGATGCAAACTTTGCCGGTTTCTAAATAGGGCAGTAAACTTTCAACTTTTTCTATTTAAGGATGCCAACTTTGCATTTTTCTTATTTAAGGATTAACTGGATGGTGACTTCTTTGATGACTTTTTTAACCATTCAATTAATCTTTAAATGGAAAAAATGCAGAGTTGGCATCCTTAAATAGAAAAAATAGCAAGGCTGTATCCTTATATGCACCTTTTCTCACCATCCTTCCATTTCTTAATTAAAGAGTAAGATGGTATTTTTATTTTATTTAGCACTAAAATTAAGGATAATTAATCATTTTCTTAATTGTAGTGTAGAAGTGTAAAACAACTAATATAGTGGAATAGAGGGAGTACCTCTTTTGCAATCCGGTTTTGAAGTTCATTCTTTGTGATCTCAAGCCTCTGTATGGCAAGCCTGGAAAGAACAGAAGACATTGGTTAGTTAATACAACATGACATAAATTGAACTTAACTTGCTACTTCCTAAACAAAATCAATTCTAAATTAACACTACGCTTAAGTATTTGGACCTGCCACAACAATATAAAAGCAAACTGGATGCTTAAACCTAGAAGAATCTAGTCAGTTTATCCAAAGAATGCTAAAGGAGACCAAAGTTCATGCTTCCAACAATCAAATGCAATAACAGTTGATGACAGCAAATACCCAGGCAACCATACATTTAATTGTATTCAATCATTCAAACCTCTCCCTCTCTACAGAGGAAGTTATTAAAGAGATCTGAAAATATACCCTCTTCCAAAGTAACACCAAAAATTAGGAATAAGAAGAAAAAGAAGAAATTTCCTTCATATGAAAAAAAAAATGACAAGGTTCTTATTAAAAAATAACAGTGTCAGAAAGCAAACACATAAAGCAAGAACAAACATTTCAAAAGTGCATGTATTAACATTTTAAACAAGAACACATCTAATGAGAGTATCTTACTCTTCTTCTCCAGAAGAATCAACCGATTCTGTTGAAGGTGTCTTCCTGGCCTGTATAGGAAAAAGTCAAAGGAGGATTCATTGTGAGAATGATTTTACACACACAATGAATACTAAAGCATATAAGTATCTAAACTCCAAGTAGAACATCTAACATTTACATCCTTGAATCTAATAAAGCATATGTATCTCCACGCACAATGAATAACAAAGTTTAAGTTACAGAGATGTTTTCAGATGAGTAGAGAATTAAAGTTGAACAAAGTTTGTGATGAATCACAAGATTATAGGCTAGCAATTAAACTTTTCCTATGCAGAAATTCAAGCCAAATATTGAGTGCCCAAAAATCTTGTAACCATCTGAAGTCTATTGCCACATTCAGAAAGGTCCACATAAGCAGATTCTTAAATTAGTTGAACTTTAAACTGTGCCTCCTATCAAGTGATGCATTGTGTCCTATATCATTATGCATACAATCTGGAATGTCCTCACAATTAGATAATAAATCATCAAAAATTAACTCACATTGTTCCGTCCCCAGAATGTTCTCTTTGAATGAACCTTAGGTTTGCCCACTGGCTTCTCAGTGGAAGACTCAAGTCCCAATGCAGGTACAGCATGGCCTGGATCCATTGAGGACAAAATCTCTCCCATTGATCGATAAGATTCACCAGCAGGTAGCAAATTTGAAGAACCAATTTCATTAGTTTGATTTTCATTTCCTTTTTTCTGCTTATCTTGTTCCACCATCAGCTGACCATTAGGATGCCTGATCTTTAGAGGATCTAGTGCTGCACTTGAACTCTCAGCCTCAACCTGGTTGTCTTTAGGTGATCCAACATCTGAATCATCACCTCCAAATACCTTTGTTCATAAAAACAAAAAATAATGGTACCCATTAATTGTATTGAATCCAAACTATTTGAATGAACAGGAGAAATCTAGTATATCAGTGACATTAGAATCTGACAGCTATCCCCTCTTATCATCATTTGATCTCTGGAGAGACATTATCAATTCTGGAAATGAAGCATGGATACAAGTTACATGAATCCTTTTCTTCAATTTAGCTCAATCTTAGGCAATTCACTCAGTAAGATACTTGGACTTTATCAGTTGACCTCTATCATCATTTTTCTACACCATTTCAGTCCACAGATTATCAGTTGACCTCAATTCCTCTTCCCCAAATTACAGTAGAGAATTCTTTCTAAGAGTGCTTGCTTTGGCATGAAATACATCCACCCAAATCATCTATGTTTTGATACTCCTAATTAATCATTACATATAACCTAATTTCTTATTTTATACCTCTTTGTTGCAGAACAAGCTCAGTTAAAAGAATCTGCTCTAACTGCCCAGAATTAAATTCTACAGGCATAAAGCTCTAGTATCTTATCTTGGATAAAGCAAAGTAGTGGTAAATCAGACCTGCAGTCTCAACCCTTAAAGCAAGGTAATTCAAAGTAGCACTCACATTTGGCACCTATGTCTCATTCAAGAAACTACTTTCAATGAATGATGTCATTTAAGCTTATGCAATGATAGCAAACTGTCCTAATACAAAGGAGGTTAATCAATCCCATCCGATGAAGCACTTTTGCACAGATCGCATGTTGATACAGACAATGTATATGTTCAAAGAGAAAGGACATGAAAGAAAGAACCTTATAGTCATAGAGATCACTGCCAGCATAACCACTGCTCTCACTTAATTTCCCACTTAGAACCCGTTCAGGATCTTCATCTGTTTCTGGATCAACTTCATTTTCTGCATCATGGTAACCATTGCCTTTTATATCCACATTTTCATCATCAGTTGAATCTTCACTTCCACTGTTCTCAATCCTAGAATCAGCTGAAATAGAACATCTTTGTAGATTTTCATCCTGAAATAACAGACAATACATGAGCTAAAACAAAATAGATCACCAGCATGGCACTCAAAGAATGACTAGTTTAACAATATTTTGGAGTTTGTACACCAACATTATGAGAGAAACAAATTTGCCATCATTAGCAATGAGGAAACCCAAGTTAGCAACTGCTCACCCACCATTAATATATCAAATATGTCACTCACACTAATGCAAACTCTAACTATCAGCATTATTAAAATTAGTTACTGAGAACTTAATAATAGCTTAATGTCTATGACAGCAATCACTTGAAATGCTGCAGAATTATATCTCTTCTTCTTGCCAACAGGAAACACAAAAACCTATCTACATGCAACATGGCAAAACATAGAGAACAATAATCCTCATCTAAAGAAAGTCTAAAGAAAATAAGTTAGGAAGCAATGCAGTGCAGCAATGCTGCAGAATTATATCTCTTCTTACATCAAAAATGGTTTCATACTCCTCCAAAAGAGTTGTAATGATGGCTTGAGCATTATTAGCAGCATTTGCAGCAGCAAGAAGCTGCGCAGAATTATCACCATTAAAGTCAAAGTCATCTTCCAACTCACATTCACCAGCTAACAGAGGGCGTAAGAGTAGGGGTGCCATGCAAGCCGCAACAGCTGATGGTGTCATTCGATTCTCATGAGAATGAGATGATATTGTATGCATCATCTTCAGAATTCTGTAGAACATAACGCACATTAAAATTACAAATTTCAGAAAAATATTTAAAGCTCTGTACACCACAGGGGTGCCTGTCAATCAGGCAGAACCCCCTCCCCCCCTTTCTTCTTTCATCAACTTTCTTATACTTAAATGGGCAGATAGTCTTGACGGAAGAAACTAGACATCAAAACAGAATAGATGAGTGTGTCCCATGCAAAGCTTACATCAAATAGAAACTCATATGTTGAATCTAAAGCATGATTTACAGGAGTTAGCAAGTGATCATTTACAGCATAAACACACAAGCAGGAAAAAGAAACAAAGGCATATCATGTTAGAAAGAAAAGCAAAAGATACCTTTGTAATAGGCGCCGATTTGGTTCAGGAAATGTCTCTAATATTGCAGTGCGCATTGCATTAATCCGAGCTTCCTTCCGATCAATTTCTTATCAGAAACAAAACAGCGAAGAAAAAAAAAATCCAATTTTTAGACCATGCAATCCAAAAATTTTCATTAAATCAAGAAAGAATAAAAAGCTAGATAGCAACTTACTGTAAGCCTCAAGCAATGCAGTGCAGCAGGAAGCTGGAACTGGAGATGAGGGTAACTCCCGCAGCACATGCTGCATATTCAATTGCTTGGTTGAATATAAACCATGTACATAGAACTTAAAAGTCAGGAGGGATAACATATCACGAAAATTACCTTAACACAGTCTCCCACAACATGAGCATCCTCATCAGGACTGAACTCAGTCTTGCCTAAGAATGTCAGCACAAAGATAAGTAATATGTCCTCAATTTAAGGAGCATGTAAAAGAAAAATAGACTAAACAGGAAACCAAATAGCAATTGACACATCCAATTAAGTAATTCATTCATGGATTTGGAAAGGAATGTCAATCTGACTAGAAAAGCTACCATGTTCATCATAACTAAGATAAGTAACATGTCCTCAATTTAAGGAGCATGTAAAAGAAGAAAAGCCTAAACAGGATACATAAAAGCAGATGACACATCCAATTAAGCAATTAATTCACAGATTTGGAAATGAATGTCGATTTGACTAGAAAAGCTACCCTGTTCATATTCCTGAACTCTGTGATCTACCTCCTCAACATCTGCAGACTGTCGTAGAATTCCTTCAACTTTAGTTCCTGTCAAGGAACAATTGTCCAGTAAGTATAACTGAAAACAATAATCATAACCAAGATAGAGATTGGAGAACACAATTTTTTTTCACTTTAGTCCATTCTGACCCTCAAATAATTAGTGTAAACTATTTTCCAAAATAGTCTCACCATCAATGATATACAATAGATGCTGAAATCACTAGTACAAAGTACAATATAGATTTGAACTGTACCAAATGGAATGAACTAAAACAAAATTACCAAGAAGTGCCTACCAAAATTCTCAAGAAACCGAAGAGCTTTCTCAAGGAACGAAGGACCACCATCAATATCTTCAAGGGCAAGCAGAATCGGTCTTCCAACAACCAAAGATTTTACAGGACGTTTATCCCTCCCTATGTAACATGTAAGGAATCTAATAAAATTAGGTAAAAAGAACAACCAGTGATAGAAATAAATTTTAATTTGCAATCAGCGAAAGTAACAAACATTGATGGAATGAGCCTTCAATTGTATCATTTGTTTCATTCCGAAAAATCCCATTGTGTCCAATGACAAGAGCCGCACTTGGCGCTTGTGAAAGGGCAAGTTCTAGAGCTGTCTTCCACTCAAACAAATCCTCTGATGTTTCTGCCTGAAATTTAGAAGGCACCAAAGGATTCAGCATATGGTAACATTTAAGTCAGGAATATCCCAGACCACAGATCATACTAGCCAAGAAGAGTTTTCAGATCATAAAAGTAAACCTGAAAATTTAAAATGGAAATAAAAGCACCTTAAGAGTGAATGCTCGCCCATCACGTCCATCAGGGAATAGTACTGTTAGCAATTTTTTGTCTTCTCTAACAACAACACTGCAGATAAGAACACCTGTAAGCCAGATTATTGAGAAAACTCACAAAAAACATGAAATGACTATGTGTACCTTCCAGAGTTATTCAAGTCAATTCCTCCCAATGTCAAATTAACTTCACCCCCTTTTTGTGGTAGGGAACTCTGCACAGAAATTAATAAAAAAAAATTGTTTCAATAAAGTTGTACTGACCCAGAATCTTAAGACTAATAAATATCAAGAGAGTCAATTTTTGCCTATTATTTAAGGAAAACAATTACAGTCTCATTAATCATTAATGCTCAGATCAGACTCAGAAAACCAGAAAACCGATTCAACTAAACAAGAAAAGTAGCTTCAACAGAATGTGCAATAACTGGAAATAAAACTTGACCAGTTCATAAATAAACATAAAAATTAAGAAAGAGGTAACAAAGTGCCAATATTAAAATTTTTTCCTGAGAAAAGCCAAAAATAGGATAAAAAAGGGAAGAAAGAAACTGTTAAATGCTGAAAATTTGAAAAGAGATGATGCATATTGCAAGAAAGCAAGCAATGAAAAGGATGATTAGTACTAACAGGATCATTTTTGAAGAAAACTAAGGAATTTCGTGTCAGGATAAACCATCGTCTCTTCCAAGACTTCCAACCCAAGCCTGCAGGAGCCATACCTTATAAGAAATTGTCCAACAAAAGAAAGTTCTACTGCTTTCTAAAACTAAAAACAACTCAACAAGTAATAGTCAAATAATTCGAAAGAAAAGTTGAAGAACCATAAGCAACAAAGAAGCAAGAAGAATAACAAATGTTTTACCAACCTTTTGAGGATATGAAAAGCGGGCCACTCTTGAAAACCTGCAATTTCATTGCAAGTTAGAAACTACTAACAACATCTAACTGCATATTACTCTCAAAAACTAATATGTGCATTCAAAACAAGACAATGTAATGGAAATATATTATTTTATATACTTGCAAACCAGGACCTGATGAATTTTCATTAAGCAAACAGCTCAAGCATCCAAAGAGAAAGCATGAAATCCAGTACATTTAAACCTCAAAATGTCAGTTTATTCACCAAGAGATAAATCAATAAAATAAAATTTTTATATGTGCCAATGTTCAACCATCAAAACAACAGATGCTATGGGGAGAACCAATAACAGAGCTTTTAAAATATATATGCAAGGAAGGAGACAGAAGAGATACAAACTCACTATATTTCAACAAGTCATCCACCAAAATTCCTAGATTCCTCTTCATTCTTGTTTCTTAATTCTCTCAATTCTACACAAATAATTTACCAATAGACAAACCGAATACAATAGTAGATACATGCATAAGAATGCAGAGAAGTTAAGGTGATAATAGATGCTAATTTATCGATTTTGCCTCTTCTTGATGGTGGATATAAGTCAGTTGTGCAACATCAATAATCTCTTGATGAAATTATGCATGTGTCCTGTTTACATCTAGCAAAGAAAGAATCCTCTTGATCCAAATAAAGATCTTTCAATTAAAACTAGTAAATTTTTACTATTGGTGTCATAGTCAGTTCATTATACTTTTAGTATTTTAAACCATGATTCCCCATACCAATCAGCATCCGATTCTATTTGATTCCCTTGGCTGGCCTTATTTATTCCAACCAATTTCTAATGACATTCCAGGAAAATCAAACATGATGCACAAAACTTTATTTACCTCATAAAATCTAATATCATATTCATAGAATATGCACTGAATCACTTATCAAAGGGAAAAAGCTCTCAAAATCTTGAGTTTTGAAAACTAGAGACAAATACTTACTCCCCCTCGAAATACCATCTTTGCTTCATTCATATCCAACTTTACCAAAAATAGCAATGCACTAATATGCTATTAACAAAATCTTCCCTAACTAGAGCATCATACAATCAATGAAGCCTAGATGAACATTAACCTTCATTCCAGTCATCTCCAATAAACAACAAAACGAACCAGAATGCCCCTTTCGATATCATTTTTTGTTGTTTCCTTAAAAAGTAGAGAAAGAAAGGAAAACCTACCGTATTGGGAGCTCCACCTCTAGGCCGCTCAAAAGCCGCGGACATTTTAGGCGATTAACATCAAAAGGCCAACTCAATTCGAAGCAAAACAACATAAACTTATCAGCATTTCAACTGCATCAAACTTCTCCTCGACTTCTCCATCGGAAGATCGCCGCAGAGCAAAGAATCGAAGCAAGATCTGAAGCCGGAGCAAGCAAGCAAACAAGCAACCACTGATGTCTGATTGCTTAAGCTTAGGGTTTTTGATACAATAATAAAAACAATAATAAAGAAGAATCACCAACCAGAGCTACCGCACTACATTTACTTGAATTTTTGTCTCTCCTCTATTTTTTTTTTTTTCCCTCTGAGATTTTCTCTCGTTTTCTTTCGTTTTCTCGGGGGAAAATTTATTTTAATTTTAATTTTTTTTTTATTAAGGAATTGGTTTGGATTAGGTATATAAGGTAATAGTGGCTGTCGTAGGGATACCGTAATCTGAGGGGGAGAGAGGGATGGAAATATGGAATGCTTTTTCCCTACTTCACCGGATGCGGAACGAAGAAAGTAGTAGTGGTCAAATACAGTCGATCTTTTTCCAGCTATGGTCATCAACCAACCAACACAAGCCACGTACGTAATTAAGCCCGGAAGTTTCAAACTATACTTGCAATTTAGTGTGGCATTTTATGAACACATAATAAATTTTGGTGAATTAGTGAAGTACAGTAGTAGACTCTCTTTTTTTTTTTTTTGGGTAAATAAGTATGCATTAAAAATTATATACGAAAAACATACAACAATTCTCATGAGTGTAATTAGCTTCATTGAAATTCATGTAATACTACATTAATAGATCATTTAAATGGTAATAAAAAAGCAAAAAAATCATTTGAATTGTAAAAAGAAATATCATTTTATGAAATTTGAAAACACAACTCACGAGAAATAATTTTCACTTGATCAAGGATCTTAACCACTAAGTTGGGATATGAGGATCTAATTGTTACACATGTTAGTTTTTATAAATATGTATGAAAGCCAAGCTTAAGGGATTTTGGCTAGAATCTCCGCACAATCCATAATCAAAGTAAACAATAGATGATCACTTATAATATATTTTGATGCTTTTCAATATATTTTGGTATATTTAAGTGTGCTTATAATAAAAGTATAATATCTCTCATTTTTAAGTCTTTTTGCATTATGCCTTTATATTTTTTGAAAAACTAATTTAAAATTTTTAAATTCAAAGTGTTGAGTTATTTAGTTTCTCTATATTAACAAAATACACTAATAAAGTTACTAATCCCAAAAATAAACTCAATATGATCTTCAAAATCTTCAAAAGAATAGTTAATAATACCAATAAAGTGAAAAGATGTTACTTTCTTATAAACATATTGAAGTAAAAAAAAAAAGTAATATTAATTATATAACATATACCAATAACAAAATAAATAACTGTCTTCAAGTTTTATTTTCTAGTTAGTTCAGAAAACTAAAACACATTTAATCCAGTGATTTTATGGCACAAGCACAAACAATCATATGGTAACTATTGAAAATCGAGTGGAAAGGAAGCACACATGGGAGTGCAAATATTAATTAAGCCAATTAATGCTGACCTGGCATAGCTTTATTGTCTCCAACCGTAGTCTTAACTGGGGCGCATTGTACATAGTAGTCTTACCCATCCCATCCACTTCCACCCACGACCACGCGCGGCATCCGCGTGGGGTAAGTCTCCGAACGAGATAACAAGGCAACAAACCGCTTGAGTGGGCCCACTTTCGGACCACTTGTCAATTCTGTGAAAGGAACGTGGAAACGTGGAGCGTGGAGTAGAGCGCCCGGTGTTTGAGTTACGCGTGTTCACCGAGATAAACGGTAACCGGTGTCAAGTGATGTCCACCAACGAAGGTTGGATCAAGTGATAAGTGACTTGTTACAGTTTAAATAAAGTTTCGAGTTTAAAATTTTATATATACAATAATTTTCACTCATCCACTATTTTCATGTGCACGATGTGGATCAATCTGAATTAATCGGAGTGAAACCCTCAATCAATAACGGGCGGGAAACCAAAAAAAAGTGATGTTCTGTCCCCGATTTTGTCCGCTCCGGTTAAAACGGGAATAAAGGTGTCCCTAACGCATTTTGTTATTCTCTGGTGGTTTTATTTTACTGCCGTCTGCGGGGCATACCTGCTCCACTACGTAAATGGTTGGGGTGCTTTCCTGGGTCGGGTCAAATTATTTTCTTGGAACTGAAATTGCCCGCGATGATTTCGATTCAGCGTTCCTTTTCCTCTGGTTCCATTTTTTTAAAACTCCAATTTCGTCGTATGAATTTTTTGAATTGTTCCCTAAACTTAAAAAACTTTTAATTTGATTTTTAAAATTTTTAAATGTTATTTTAAATTGATTTTTCTCTTTCAAAAATAATTAACTTATTAATCATCAAATAACAACACTTAAAATTAAATTTAAACACTTCGAATATCAAATGGAAGAATTTTTTTGGGAAATAATCGATACACTTATCGGTTTATTATTTGGTTCAATGCTTTTCAATTTAGTCATTAAAAATATAATATAAATACAGTTAATTCAGTCAGTTCATATATCCTGTGTGCATGATTGTATTATTATATTTGTTTATTTTTAATTTTAAACTAAAAAATA